GTCTAAACAGCTTATACACACATATAAATACTTATTTTTTACTTATTTTGTGTTTTGTAATAATTACAGGAGAAATACAACACAAGCAATTGTTTTATTACCCTTTAATTTGATTTCTGGAGATTATCCAAGGTGCTTCATGACCCATAATTGGGTCCCAAGCCCAACTTTGGGAACCAAAGTGCAGTGGTTTCCAAACTTTTCAGCTTTTGACCCACAAAATAACAGTAGCAGAAAATCTTTTCAGGACCCCAACTTAATGTTTTGGGACCCCACTTTGGGTCCCAACCCCAACTTTGGGAAACACTGCTTTAGAGGACACAGAGCCTGACCGAGACTTTAACATTGACCAACCTGAGACACCATCTTTTTCTTTTTAACACAGTTTCCAGTTAATGCAACACACCTAGTTTCAACACACTTTTCTTTGAGTCACAGGAAACATTGCCTAATTTCCATATCAGTTGTACGTTTGTTCCACTCTGAACCTTAGTAACACACACAGCTTTGTGCAGAAGTTTCAAGCCACTCAAAATTTATTTTCATTTTCCTTTCAAACAGGCAGACTTCCTTGCATATTTCAGTGATCATAAATCAATGTCAACATCTCTGACACATTTTAATGAAACTTTCAAAGAGTAAACACTGGATAAACAGCTACAACTGATTGATTGGACTCGAGCCAATTCAAGATGGCTGCCACAGCCAACAGGCATTAAAAAAACACAAAAATGGCTAAATTTGCAGAAATTAAGAACAAATTTGATGTGTTAGTAGCAAACATGAACTTTTAATGCAATACATTACAAACTATCTTTACCTAAAACCTTGTCGATAACTGCTGGAGTCAACCCAACATGTCTGTTAGTAAAATATCTCCTCAACCACTTGACAGATTTCAGTGAAACTCCCAGGGTGTCAATAATTTGCTAAGCATCTGAAAGTAATTGTGTTAAGAAGTCGATCTAATTCAAAATGGCCACTTATCCATATTAGACCACACAGACCTCATTGAGCTTTTAAACACAAATTTGGTGTTTAAATAACCATTCACACCATGTTTAGTAACTAATCATGCAACATCACACAAGATAATTTATGAGACTGCTCATAATGTTGTTTTTCTTTGATTAAAATAACAATAACGCTATCATTTCTCAACATAAGACGAGTTTGAGATTCTAACTCTGGCAGAAAAGGCAGCAAGCAATATGCATTCTTTTGACCACTGCTAGCCTTTAGTTTTATTGTGTAGTTAAACAACAGTGTGAGTCAAAGAAATCAAAGACTTAACAATCCAAGTTTTTGTACATCAGCATGAAACCCACTGCATTTCTTTTTTCATCTAGATGTGCAGACAGGCAACACACTCCAGGAAGTTTGTGTCGACTGTCTTGTCTGAAAAACAGCCTCCGCCTTCTTCTCTGTCCGTTCATCAGAAACGAGGTAAGACTCTAGATGACGGATGTTCAGCTGCAGCTGCTCAGCCATCTCGGGTGTTAGTTAAAAGGCACCCCCACCCGCCCTGAGCTGCAAGTGAACAGAGCCCATTCGAACCACCTGCAGCTTCCTGTCCCGAATTAACGTATCGCAAATAGAAAATCCAAAACCATTACCTCTAAATTTATAAGACGTGCTTCCCCTGAACCGTAAGTCATCTTGACGGCCAGCCTGTCATCTTGTGGTTTATAAATACATGTTGTATTAAAGCGGTGCAAAAATAAAAAGGATTATCACCTGCAACATTGGCCTTCTTGCAGATAACGTAAGTTTTCACTTATTTTATCATTAAATGCAACAATGCAATCAAGATGCATTTTTTCTGACAAAATATCTTTGGTTCTGCTGGCTGCAAATTCCCCTTTTCCTCGTCTGACCCCTCCTCCTATTTCTGCCACAGATGGATGAGATTCCTCTAACGGCAGTAGTGACATGGGCCCTTTCAGTCTAATCATCAGGTGCTGCAGGATGTGAGATCCTTGGATGCACCTGGGGTCGCTTCTCTTCTTTTTCTCTGCTCAGAAACCCTCGGGGCTTCAGCTCAGGGCTAAAACATTCTCACCACTCTGAACGGCTGATGATAAGCTCACACCTGAGAAACAACGTGCCTGGTGGCTCCTGTGTTCGCAGTCATGGATGATCTTTTTTTTTTTCCAAAAACACTGGTTGTTAAAATCCCAAGAATCTCCTTTTGAGCAAAAGGCAGCACATATCCTGAGAAGGTCTTTTAGACAGTTAAATAATGCAGGGAATCTTTGTTGACTCTGTATTTATTCTTTATATTTATATTTGAGATATTAGCACCTGTATTCCATTAGTTATCACCGCACTTGTTATTTAATAATTACCGCTTCCAATACAGAAAGTGTCTGGTTTGCCTCAACTCTTGGTTGGATCCTGCTGTTTGTTTCATTGAAGGGTAGCAGCTTTTTTGATGACTTCCACTTGATTTATTAAAGTTTGGCTTTTGTTTCTTATCCAGCTATCTCTCATAGACCTGCAACTGGGTCTTGATTCAGCTTACAGTGTTGAGATGAACAGCATTAGTACATCCCTCACAGCAATCAATGTATGTCTCCTTAAAATGTATCACTGATATACAATTGTGTTTTCAAGAAACAGTTTATGGTAGGAAATGTGACTCCGATTGACAAGACCGCCTAACAATAAAAACACCCCCTCCAAAGCAAAAACAAAAAAACCTCTCCACTTATTTCCACCTGGTTAGGAGGTGCTGAGCCAGCCAGAGTTGAAAGGCTGCAGCAGAAGATAACGGCTCTGAGCTGACAGGTCGTAAACAAAACCAGCATGATTGGAGCTACCACTTTATGGGCAGTTTTCCAGTTAGAGCACAGCTTTCATGTGTGAAGGGTAATGTTAAAGAAAACAGCCTGGGACAAATAGCAAGAGGTGGAGGTGAACGAGTGGCAAACTGAGATTTCACTGTGTTTAAGAAGCAATTCCAGTTGTTTGCAAAGTGCTGCTGCTGGTGACAAGAGTCAATAACTGGAGATGAAACATTTCAATTTCTGTCTCATAAGTGTTTTTGTTTGACCTTAGCTGCTACGAGAGGTCCAAAAATGACAAAATATACGCATTTTCACAAGTCGAGCCCTCAAAAAACAGTTACGTTCAGGTAAACACGGATTGAGGGGCAGCAGAAAGACAATGTGCTGAAAGCAGGATCTTTATCTTAGTAATAACAGTGAAACAAGCTTCCTGCTGTCTGATGAGGTTTGATGTGGTTCAAACAGAAATTACACCTGTGCATCTCCTCAGAGGGGCGGGGCTGTTGGAAAACGACAGACTGACTGATACTTCCTCTGTGCTACAGGGAGGGAAAACAGCTGGTGGACATGACTCCGCCCACTTGGTTTTTTTTTTCTTTAATTATGCACAACAGATCACCATGTCTGGATTTTGGGTTTGAAAACTTCCAACTGCAAAATCTTTAAAACAACAATTACACTTGTATAATCATTTTTTTAAATTATTTGCAGCTTGTTGTAAATATACAGCAATGTAATACAGTGTGTAATAACTATAATAAATTAAAATTGTATGTCCAACAATAAATTACATGTTTGAATGAATGAATATAGGAAAAGATATCTAGTGATGTGATCAAAGAAGAATTTCTGATGTGTTAGTGAGACCTGACGTTTTCCTGCTTGTAGTTTACTCAAATAAAGAAGTTTAAATATCCCAAAAAAAGACTGCTTAATGCATAAAAAGAGCATAAAAACAAACATTGCTAAGATGCTGTTTCGATTTTCTATTGTTTTCATTGGTTATAGAGAGAAATATTTATTTAGAATTAGGAAAACTTCTTGTCACCTTGACAATTAGGCAGGTTGGTCAGACAAATGTTTTTATTTACCAGATTATATTACAGATACTTGTTAACTTATTAAAGATGATACATGCTAAACTTAAGATTATGATAAAAGGAAGTAAGATGGCTGTGAGGATTAAATAGTGAACAGTTGTAGGTGTTTATTAGACTACTTTTTGACCACACTGGGCAAAATAACTTCACTTTAATACATGAACATGAACCTATCCAAACTTCCCAGATCTCCCACATTTGCAGCACAAACATGTTTCATTCATCAGACTGTGTGATGATCCCGTTTCACATTTGTGTCCTTCCTAACTTAGTTTTGTGACCTCAGGGCCTTCCCAAAGGTCAGAGGTCAGACAGCCCTAATTAAAGGTTTACTGTGGCTTGCAGAAGAATAATGTGGTCTCAATGTCAGAGTCATCGGACTCACATTCTTTGTTGCTGAGCAAGTCCCTGCAGAAACTGGATGTTCAGCAGCTGCCGCAGCGCGCCGACCAAATCCAGGACACATATCGACAAAGACCTCAACTCAACCTGAGGTGTACACATTATTCTTCTCCCTTTTTATTTATTTACAGTATTTACTTCATTTATTGAAACCTAAGCTGATTTAGCTCCAGCTGAAGGAAAAAAAAATACTTATGGAAAGTCCAGAAGACAAGTAAAAGCCAGTTGTCATTTAACACCTCAGTGCTGCTTTCCTTTTCGACACAGCCCACATTTATTTTATTTTAAGAGTTGCTGCTATTTACAGTCTCACATTTTCTGCGTTCCAGTTTTTTTTTTTTTTTTTTTTCACAGTTCTGCAGGTGACCTCCCGAATATTTACAGGTCTAATTTAGTTGTGCTCGTTGCAGTTCTTCACACCGCGCTGGCTGCCTCTCAACAAAGGAGGGGGTGAAAACAATTTGCAGCGAGCACACAAATAGTGTCGCTCTAGTAAGTTTGGGTTACAGTGTGTTTAGTTGGGAGCAGTCACGACGTGTCACTTCCACTCTGTCTGTGTGGTCTTCGTTTTCCCCTGTTACTAAAGTTTTGTTCTGCAGTTTTATTGTTGCTGAATTTTTGGAAGGGTGGGGTAATATAAAATTAAATCACAGCCTTTTATGCAAGCAAATGATAAATGACATTTGAAGTCATTTCATCCCCACAAACATCATTGTGCAAAATGTTAGCACTCAGCTGTGAGTGACCTTAAGGTTTTATAAAAATTTTCTGATCTGTGAGAGGTCAGTTTTGGTGTCAGTTTCTTCCAATCAGAGCCATTAATGAAAGTGATCCACAGGAGCATCTCTGAAAAGACGTTTTGGAGGTTTTTGAAGAGCTGGATGACAGTTATAAATCTGAAAAGGATTAGAGTGAGGAAGAAAATTCACAAGTGGAATTCAAAACAAGTTCCTACCTTCCTGGAAGTGGACATCTGACTGAATTCACAAGCTCACCTGAAGTTAGACTGTGCAATAAAAAAACCACAGGAGAAAAGTGACTTATTTTACTGCTTCAAAGAACTCATTTCTCAAATATTTTATTTTTTTAAGCTTTCATATTACTGTCAGACAGAAATCTTATGTCTTCAAAAACACTGCTTTTCAGGAAATGATAATGTGGTCTGAGGTTGAACACTTCTCATTGGTCAAACCCTAAAACCCACAGATATGAAGAAGATCAGATGCGATTCATGCAAAAACATTAAAACGATTTTAAGAATGAAGATTATAAGTTTTGGCCCGACGGCCACAATAAATGGTTGCTCAGGCGTAAACATCCTGTTATTCCTGGCCTGCCACTGCACCGGAACTGCTCCAGCTAGCTGCTGCTGCTGTTGTTGTTGCTATTTGTGCTTGCAAATAACCATCAAATTTGAAAGGACTTTATCACATCTTTCAGTTGACAGAGACCAGTTCAAACAAAGAGTTTAGACAAATTTCTTTCTCATTGCTACTTTTCTGATTGTGACTGAGTTTAACTAAAATCCTCACATGATGTTTAGTNCCCCCCCCCAATGGATCAAATCCTCCTTGGAATGCCCAGTCTTTCAGCAGCCAGGTTTTACTGCACTCACCGTGGCCCTTCACAGATCCTTATCTTTCCTCGCGCCTCACTTCAGCACAGTTTTATAAACTAAGATCATTGTGCTGTCTGATCTGGAACCGGAGCCCGAGTCCTGTCTTTTCTGGTGGAAAACTGAAAATCCTTTATATTGGACTGCACTGATGAGCTGATAAACTCTGTTCAAGTTTAAAACAGGAGCCTAAGTAATCGGAATCGCTCTGAAAGATATGATTGGTTCCTAACTATAATGAAAATCTGTTAATGAAAGCTGTCTTGAAATAAAGATTATAAAAAATTGTCAACCAAGGTTCTAAACTGATCCTAGAACAGAAAATCACGCTGTCCCCTCAGTCTCAGGGACTACACTGGCTTTAGACATATTATGGTCAAGTGTAAATCACAATGAAAGGAGGAGTGTGTGGATTCCATCAGTTAACCTTTTCCTCAAACAGATGTTCCACCTTAGAGGTCAGAGGTCACAGAAAAAGCTGCATCAACTTGGCCAAAGCAGGTGACTGCGGGACTCATGACTGTTCTGACTTTTCTCTTTCTCTCTCTTTCAGGATAAAAAAAAGAAACCGAAGTGACTGCAGGGGTTTGGGACACTTGTGTTCAAACTGTGTGGAAACTCCTCTGCAACTAAAGCTAAATGTTTGTTGCAAAGCAAATAGTTGAATGGAAGGGAAACTGTTTTATTGTCACTTTTTTTTCGTACAACAAAATTTTTACAAATTGAAAACAATTATTAGGAGGAACTATGTTTAACTGGGTTTATATTTTGTTGGTTAAAAAGAGAATAAGATGCTTTTTTAAATTCTTGCTGAAGTCCAGTAGCTTGAAATCCAGCTTTTCACTGATGCTGTATTAGCCCTCTATTTTGCATCTGTGCTGTTTGCAAACCTGCATTCTGTCCACTGGACTGCAGGGGGGCAGCTCCTGGAGACGAGAAGTTCAACTTGTTTAGAGCTAGAAAAAGTTAAGCTGACGTCTTCTTTGATTTCTCATTTTAGGTAATTATTTCTAATGGAATTTGATGCATTTGTAAATAATGGGTCTATTTTGTTCAAAGACAATGAAAGATACATTTTAAAACATTGGTTGATGCTGCTGGATGTTCTCTCCAGCTCTCAGTAATGTGCAGTTTCAGAGGACAAAGATGGTGGACTTGTCCATGTTTTAATTCAGTCTGTGCATTGTGGACTTTAGGAAAAACATGAAACTTGCATTTGCTTCAATGGTTTTTTTTTGTTTTGTTTGTTTATTTGTCTCCTTGTTTGTTTGTTTGTTTGTTTGTTTGTTTGTTTGTTTGTTTGTTTGTTTGTTTGTTTGTTTGTTTGTTTCTTTGTTTGTTCCAATAACTGTCTTTAAAAGATCAGACTTTAGGAAATACAAAAAAGGAAAAACTTTTAAAAAATAATTTTACTGTTTTTAAATGAGCATGCTTTGTGGTCTGGTTGGTATACAAAATAATTTTATTTCATTTGTTTTAAATTTGTTTTGCCTAATTAATGGACCACTATTTGCTTAAATGTAAATATCAGTAGTGGCAGTCACTGCCCTTATCCTTAAATGGATTATTTGGTGATTTTTGAAGTGATGTTCTGTCAAATAGTTCTCAGTAGTTTTAACATTTTCAGAAAAAAAAAACCCATCAGTCATAGAGAGGTAGAAAAACAGGCAGATTCTTTCTCCAGGCTGAGGGCCACGTTTATATTGTTTTTAGGCCTACAGTTTTTTTTTCTCCGCCCTCTCTTATTTTACTGTTTGTGTAACTGATGTTGTACGTGTGTCACAGGTCTCATTAACACAACATGTTTCAATGAGATTACCTGCCTAAATAAAGTTTTTTATTAAAAAAAACTGATATTTGACAGAACATCACTTCAAAACTCAACAGATTATTCCCTTAAACGTGGGTTTGCACAAAACACAAGGAAAAAACTGCACATTTCCAAAGTATGCCTTCTGAATAACAGGATTTTTTTGTTAGTTTTTTTTTTTTTTTGGGGGGGGGTGGGGGGTGGCATATACAGCATTCACCATTATCATCTTATTTTATCAGAAAAAAATAATAATACAGAAAAAGTTGTAAATTAATTATTACCACCATACAATCACAGTTAAATCATTTGTACAGAAATTTTATGCTCTTATTACTTTTGTGTTATGCCAATTCCTATGGTTTGATTTTTGTTTCAATGTTTTCGAATAAAAATAGTTTTTGCATTTCATCCTATAATGTAGTTATTTTTATTACTGTTCTGTTGTGAATTCTTTTTTTTTTTGATTTTCATCAGATTTTTAATGAACAGAGGGTGAACACAAGGATTACTGTCAGTGTTAAATCTCAGAAAGTTGAATATATTTACAATATTTGGGATGGCTGCCACAGCTAATTATAAGCACGATTTTATTCAATCAATTTTACATCTGTTATGCTCTGATTTTTTATTTTTTTGTAACTGTAACTGAGAGACAACTCCAACATATATTTCAAGCTCTAGATCTTCAGCATGTAAAGCAGAGCATAATATGTATTTATTCAAGTAAAGTTAGTTACTTTAACGCTGATAGATTAAAACAATGTTGTTTTTAAGGTATCTAATATAAACTATTTTGTTCATAATTGCATTTATATTAAAAAAAACTTTTTTCTAGCATTCTCTTATAATAGGTTTTTATTAAGATTTTTGCACATTTCTAACTGTATCTTAAAAGAATGATTGGAGTGCAGATCTGAGTTATCCATCTTCAACACTGGAACCATACGTGATCAGTCAGATGTAAATATTTTATATGTATAATCCCAATACGTGAATGTACATGGACTCCAGTTCACAGTTTATCACCCCATAAAGCTCACTTAAGCTGTTTCAATTTCAAGTTAATTAAAGCAGGCATACACATCCATTTCCTGTTTAATTTTATGAGCCATATAATATCTTTATTATTGCCATCGACAGTGATGAGCTCCCCAGTTTCTGCAACATACCCAGCTGCTATTTACAGCCTGTTTCCAGGGGCTCATGCTCCTGTTTAATGACAAGTGATAGCAGATATCAGTGAGGCCACAGAAGGCTTTAATCTACCATTAACCAGATGAAACATTGCTCTGAGCTGTATGATGCAGCTGTGACGGCAGGACCGCTTCGAAAACGTGTATGTGTGCCTCTCAAACCTGACCGCAGTCATAAATACCCTGCAACGAACCACTCAGTGCAGCAGAACCCAAACCTCCTCATCCTCGGAATTGGAGCCGGAGGTTTAAGTCTTCTCTATTTATATGCGCTGTATTCCAACGAGCCACCAGCTGAAGGGTCAGATGCTAGAAAGTAATGTAGAGAAAATGTTGAAGAGTGGAGCCTTTATAGAAAAAATGTTTTCAGATACCTAAAAAAAGTTTTTCACTTTCATTTTAGTTCACCAGCACTACAAATTATTGCCTGCCTTGACTGTACTGCTACTTTAGCTACCAATTAGCCTTTTATTTTATTTTTTTAACTTTAAGAAACCACTCTGCACCTTTTCATTGTTTTTTCTACCACTTGCAAGATTTTGACTGTCTTTGTTTACTGTTTTTATATTTTAGCTATGTTTATTACATTTAGCTATCACTTTTAGCTTTTAGCCAGCATTTTGCCTTATTTTGTAACTTCTGACTTTTTAGCTAAAGCAGGGGTGGGCAATCCTGGCACTGGAGGGCCACAGCCCTACAGGTTTTATGTTTTTCCCTGCTCCAACACACCTGATTCAGACATTTAATTATCAAGTTCTGCAGTATGGAGGACCGACACTGACA